AATATACCAGTTATGTTTTCATAGTTTTTTTTAATAAAGCATTCTGAGAACTAAGTTCTTCAAAGTTGCCTCAATTAGCACACATTCCTTCTATGTTTCTATTTTATTAAAACACTCCCCTCCTCCACAAATTTGCTTTCCTGACAATCCTTTTCCTAAAGTGGGATAAATATGGAAATCTAAGTCTAAGGGGTCCTTCATGCTCCCTGAACTTGGTTGTTTTCTTGCAGATACCTTGCAGACGTTTCAGTACTCAAACTTGGTATCATCATCAGTGCTAATCTTGACTAGCACTGATGATGTTACCTAGTTTGGGTAATGAAATGTCTGCAAGAAAACAACTAAACTCAGAGAGTACCGAGGACCTCTCATTTCAACCCTGAGCTTACAAATATTATAAATCTAAGTCTGTTTGAACAAGCTCTCTTTTTCTCTATGACCTGTTTTAAAAAATGGGTGAGGCCAGCAGAGCTGGGTATCAAGAACATGCAGATGACCCCCAGTTGCAACACTTGGGTGACCTGGTCAAGTTTTAGTTCATAAAATTTGTGGGACCTCAGAATTCCATGACCTTGTTCAAGAGCATTCAGATGACCACTGAGTTGTGATATTCTAGATTACCTACTACAGTTATTTCTGCAGGTGTTAGGTGACATTTAGACCTTGTGGAACCTCACAGTTCCATGACCCTCCCAACACCATTTCTGGACATATTCCGGCAGGAATGACCCCACTGCAAAACACCACCCAGATGGCTCAATACCTCTGGTGAAGATTTCAGCCAGAAAAGAAAAAAGAAAACAGCCTGAGATGTCTTACTCGAAAAAGCCATATGATCCTCTGGTCCCCAAATGGGAAACTTTCAGCATTGTCCCATGGGAATGTGAAAATAATCTATGAGAGAAAATGGCAGGAAGGCAACCCTGAGGTTTCACTATCCAGGCTTATCTAGAGAGCTGCAGGAAGAGCCCACCTTCTGTGGAAGCTGCTGTCATAGCTTGTTTTGCAAAGCCTGCTCACAGCCAGACAAGAAGCAAAGGGGGAGGGAATGGGTTGGAATGCTAGGGAGGGGATAATGGAATGTAAGAGCACTGACTCGGTGGTGAGACTTACCAGTGTTCCAAGGTTACCTACTGGGAAAGCCCATCAGAGTCTGTTCCCCAAACTGAACATAATTGATTGGATAGAATAAAGTAACAATGGGAGGGCCAGGGAAAAGGAGAATATTTCACTATGCTATTTGCACATGAAAATGTTAAAATTAGCTTCGTTACTTCTGTATCCATGTCAGCTCAGTAAATTGTGCTCTTGGCAACAAAAAATTCCCAGGAATCTTTATTTGCTGTATGCACTGAGTGGGACGGTTGACAGCTGCTTAGAAAGCAACTGTCTTTGCCATATCCAGTGGTAAGAAAAGGATGGCAGTTGAAGCCCATACAGGGACGGAAGGAAAATTGATGGTCTATTCCTTGCTCTTTCTTCTCTTCCTTAAAGAAACAATCTCAAGGAGAAGGAAGAAATGGAAAGTCCCTCCCTCTGCCCCTTTACTCATAGTTGAATCTATGTTTGGAATAAAGTTTATCTGTTTATTCAGAATATTTGCTAAGCTTCCATCTGTTACTTCTTGTCTTGCCCTCTGGTGCCTTGGAGAATAGGTCGATCCCCTCTTCTCTGTGGCAGCCTCTCAAATATTGGGAGACTGATGCCATCTCTAGTCCTTCTCTTTAAGTACCGTATATTCCGGTGTATAAGACGACTTTTGAGAGCGTCGAAACAGCCTCTGAACTCGGGGGTCGTCTTATACGCCGAGTCGTCTTATACGCCGGAAATAAGATGACTTTCTAGGCATGCAGCTCGGCATCGATCGTCTTATACGCCGGAAATAACATAGTTTCCGGCATATAAGACGACTTTCTAGGCACGTGACTCGGCGTCGATGGTCTTGCGACTCGGCATCGATCGTCTTGCGACCCGGTGTCAAAGTAGGGGGTCATCTTATACGCCGGGTCGCCCTATACGCCGGAATATACAGTATGTCTTTTAAACTGTATGTAGTTCCTTTTCCTCTGCGCACCGTCAGTATCTGGCTTAACGAATACTTCAAGAGAGGAGAATATCAGGTATTGTGATGCTGTAAGCTTGGCAGATATCTTCAAAGTTAGTTAGGAAGGAATTAATGTGCTCTCTTCTCAAAAGTTGCAGGGCCCCAGAACAGAAACAAATGTTTTTGTGCACGGGTGCAGGAAGACCGTCCTTAGCTCATCAATTCAAAGGTAGTCATAACACAATAAAGAGAACAGATATTATCTCCATGACAATCAAAGCTTTGTGAGAGAGAAGAGACAGATGTCATAAGTTCTGATTGTGGGCACATGAGGGCAAATTCTGATTACCTTCCATCTTCTACCAGAACTCTCTGTCAATCAGTAGTAGGAATCTGAATATATTTCAGTATCCTCTATCTGACACAAGCCTGGGAAGCCCCATGGAATTGTGTCACTTTCTGGACATGTCCTATCAAGAAGGACCTCAACACTGCAAAACATTCCCCCCTCCCCAGGTGTACCTGTGATTTTTCACCAATATGTTTTTCTCTTGCTGACATTCTGTGCACGGAACCATGGAAGAACTTCAGGATCTCCAGAGAAGTTGTTCTCACTCTAATAATAATAATAGTAGTAGTAAAGTTGGAAGGGACCAGAGAGGTCATCTAGTCCAACCCCCTGCTCAGACAGGAAACCCTACACCATTTCGGACAAATGGTTGTCCAGTCTCTTCTTAAAAATTTCCAGTGTTGGAACATTTACTGCTTCTGGAGGCAGGCTGTTCCACTGATTAATTGTTCTCACTGTCAGGAAGTTTCTCCTTAGTTCTAGGTTGCTTCTCTCCTTGATTAGTTTCCACCCGTTGCTTCTTGTCCTGTCTTCAGGTGCTTTGGAAAATAGCTTGATTCCCTCTTCTTTATGGCAGCCCCTGAGGTACTGGAATACTGCTATCATGTCCCCCCTCGTCCTTCTCTTCGTTAAACTAGACATACCCAATTCCAGCAACCGTTCCTTATATATTTTAGCCTCCAGTCCCCTAATGATCTTTGTTGCTCTTCTCTGTACTCTTTCTAGAGTCTCAACATCTTTTTTACATCATGGTGACCAAAACTGGATGCAGTATTCCAAGTGTGGCCTTACCAAGGCATTGTAGAGTGGCATTAATACTTCACGTGATCTTGATTCTATCCCTCTGTTAATGCAGCCTAGCACTGTGTTGGCCTTTTTGGCAGCTGCAGAACACTGCTGGCTCATATTTAAGTGATTGTCTACTAGGACTCCGAGGTCCCTTTCACAGTTACTACTATTGAGCATGGTGCCACCTATGCTGTACTTGTGCATTTGGTTTTTCTTGCCTAAATGTAGAACCTTGCTTTTTTCACCATTGAATTTCATTTTGTTAGTTAGTGCCCAGTGTTCAAGTCTGTCACCATTTTGATCTTTGAGACCTCATCTGCTATGTCTCCAGTGACTGCTTTTGATGTAAACATCAGACAGAAGCAATATGGAAGGGATCTTGCACCAGAAAAAGATAAATGGCTTACATCATGCTCTGACAGGCAGGGACTATGCTCTTGAATATATCTTTCTCTCATTTCTGGGTGAACCTCGGTTTGTCTCTTTCTGAATCATGAAAGCTGCTGGAATTCCCATTTTTTGAGAAGGCTTTAAATTCTTCTAACTCTCTCTACTTTTCTTGTTTAGAAATGGGAAGAGGATTGATTCCTCTTTAGGAATTATGGAGCTCTTGCTTCTGCTTCTGATGCTGCTGGTGTCCCACGGAGTCTCTGAGAAGCTTAGAAGGAACTGCCTGCTGAATTTGGAGCATCAAGATGAAAAAATCCCATGGAGCTTCTATAGGCCAGGTGACCATCTGATTGGCATGGTTGCCACTGCCACAAAAATAAAGGATACAGTGTTGCTTTTCAGCCTGGCTCCTTCTACTCAATCTGAGTCGTAAGTCATTCAGCCTGTTGCATTCTACCACTGGCCTTCTTTTCTCCTTATTTCATTTACTCCTATATTTTTATTCATACATTTATTTATTTATATCCTGCTTTTTACTATTTTTACAAATAACTCAAGGCAACAAACATATATAACATACCTTCCTCCTCCTATTTTCCTCGCAACAACAATCCTGGGATATAGGTTGAGCTGAGAGAGAGCGACTGGCCCCAAGACACCCAGAAGACTTTCATGGCTAAAGCAGGACTTAAAGTCATGGTCTCCCACTTTCTAGGCAGGTGCCTTAACAACTAGATTTATCCGCTAGAAGCTCTTTCTGGGCTGCATTTTTTAAATTGATTCAGCCCCATGAATAATGGATTTTCTGCTTTTGATGTTGCTGGTGTCCCAGTCAACTTCTAAGAAACTTAAAATAAATTGCCAGATTAGAGTTGCAGGTGTTCAGCCCATTTCCGTATATTGATTAGTGCTCATTGATATTTAATTCTTAATATTTATAGGAGATAACATTTTTTTTGAACTGCTTTTATGGCTCATTTTTGAAATATGCTCTTCTTTTTATGCTTCTATCCAAGAAGCAATGGATGGAAATTAACCAAGGAGAGAAGCAACCTTGGTTAGGAACTAGGGAAAAAAATTCCTGACAGTTAGAACCATTAATCAGTGGAACAACGTGCCTCCAGAAGTTGTGAGTGCTCCAACACTGGAAGTTTTAAAGAAGAGATTGGACAACCATTTGTCTGAAATGGTATAAAGTTTCCTCCCTGAGCAGAGGGTTGGACTAGATGACCTCCAAGGTCCCTTCTAACTCTGTTATTCTATTCTATTCTATTCTATTCTATTCTATTCTATTCCTTTGACTGAATGGTTGTAAATTGGGCAGATGCAAATTAAGACTGCTACAAATAATGGTTTATTTCTGATTCGTCACTCTGGTAAAAACTACTTACATCCCATCTTTTCAACACTCCTGAAAATTATATGGTGATGGGTAACTCATTCACCTCTGGTTTTGGATCATTGTTGCATAACAATGTAGGCTTGTGGAGACAAAGAGGATGAAATTGAAAAAAAGTATTTTGTTGTTTCAATGACGATGATGGTAATAATGATAACAAAATGGACATTTTTAAAATGTAGGCATTTTATTGATCATTCCAAAATCCTACGCTTCATTTTCGCCATTCAAGTGGTCAACAAGAATCCCCAGTTCCTGCACAATCTGACACTTGGCTACAACATCCACGACAACTATTTGAACACAGTTGGCACTTCAGATGCCTTGCTGAATGTACTCTCAACTGGAGAAGCTAATGTTCCCAACTACAGCTGTGGAAAAAAGGACAATATTTTGGCCCTTATTGATGGAGCTGATTGGGACATCTCAATCCAGATGTCAACATTAGTAGGCCCCTACAAAATCCCACAGGTTTGTGTGTGTGATTTCTAATTTGTAAAATGAGAGGGATAGTGGTGAGTTCTGCATATATAGATATGATTCTGGTAAATTGTAGGGTGGTACAGAAATACTATGTGCATTTTTTACTCTTATTCTTTCACTTTTAATGTGTTCATTTTATTCTGTTTTTATATAACACTTTGCTAATTTTTTCTTTTTTTATATTCTCTATCCTAATGTAGTCAAATGACTAATCAACAATGAAATATTGTAATACTGTATGTTAGATTTATTAATATCTTGTATTTTGGACTTGATTTAATCCCAAGAATAACACAGTATTCTTGATTGCTTTTTCAGATCAGTTGGGGACTTGTTGCAGAGACTCTGAGTGACAAAAGTCAATTCCCCTTTTTCTACCGGATGTCCACCAAAGAAGGGATCCAGTATCCAGGAATTGTGCAATTGCTCCTCCATTTCAGATGGACCTTGATTGGTCTGTTTGCTTCAAACACAGAGAATGGAGAGACTTTCATGAGGACTTTTACTCCTTTGCTTGTCAGGAATGGAATTTGTGTTGTGATATCACAACAATTCTCAATGACCACCAACGCAGCTTACTTCAGGCATGCCTTCTCTAAATGGAGACAAGTCAATGTTCTGGTTCACTTCTTGGAATATGATTCCATTTGGGAAAGGATTTTTCCTTTCCATTTAACACTCGAAGGTTTGCCAAGACCCGTTGAAGGGAAAGTCTGGATCATGACAGGCTTGGGAACATATAACAGGAAAAAGCACTTACTTTACAAATATGTCCATAGTATTTGGACGTTCGCTTTTCTGCTGAAACAATGGCTCAATGATAGTACGTTTGTACCTATGTTGTTTATAGACCCTGAGTTTGAAGATCAGTCTTTTCACTGTTCTTTTTCAAAGAACATCTTTTGTGTCAAAGGCCAGAGAAGATGCACCCAGAAAGCACCACTGGAAATCCAGAAGAAAAGGAACAGGATCCAGATTAAAAATTACCACTATATTCACAGTGTTGTTAAGACTTTGGCCCATGCTTTGAATGCTGCATATTCCTCCAGATCCAGGAGGAGAAGGAAGGAGAGTGAAAAGAGTTTGGGGGCTCTAGGATTGCAGCCATGGGAGGTATGGAGTCCTAACAAGGATCCATCAAACTTAGTTCCTTTGGAGAGGAATTGCAAAGGAGGGGGGGGAAACCATCTCAACCTCCTTGGGCTACAAAAGGCCAATCTAATCACCCGACGCCTCCTCTTTGCACGAATCTTAGTTAAAACTTTGACTAATGGTTGCTTGTTCTTTGCATTAAGACAAGCAGTGAACTTCTAAAAATGCTCCTCCTTTTAGGATGTTTTTCTTCTCATTCAGCCAGGATCTTCTCTCTTGTGACTAAGATCATTTTCCCATATCTGATACTATGGAATAACAGAGGAAACATCATCATCATCATCATCATCATCATCATTATAGTAAAGTTGGAAGGGACCTTGGAGGTCATCTAGTCCAACCCCCTGCTTAGTCAGGAAACCCTATACCATTTCAGACAAATGGCTGCCCAGTCTCTTCTTGAAAACTTCCAGTGTTGGGGCATTCACTGCTTCTGGAGGCAGGTTGTTCCTCTGGTTAATTGTTCTAACTGTCAGGAAGTTTCTCCTTAGTTCTAGGTTGCTTCTCTCCTTGCTTAGTTTCCACCCGTTGCTTCTTGTCCTGCCTTCAGGCGCCTTGGAAAATAGCTTGACTCCCTCTTCTTTGTGGCAGCCCCTGAGATATTGGAACACTGCTATCCTGTCCCCCCTCATCCTTCTCTTCATTAAACTAGACCTCCCCAATTCCAGCAGCCATTCCTTATATGCTTTAGCCTCCAGTCCCCTAATCAACTTTATTGCTCTGTATAACCTCTTTCAGTTATTGGAAAAGTGTTGTATTTTCCCTTCTCCAATGAAAAGATTTTGTTAATTGGTGCTCTCAGATTCTTTCTGATTTTATTTTCCATAGACGATGATGGTTCTTCTGGTTGTCTTTCCTCAAGATTAAGAGCAGCTCCTTTGATCTCTTCCTTGGCTTCATTGTCCTTCGCTAAAGCTGATCCAGATTTTCTACAATGTCTTCTCCAAGCATAATGTCTACAAGGGGAACTGGCACTTGAGTTAGAATATCTCCAAAGCTGAACATTCTCTTTCTGAGATTCTTATGGATGCCTTCACATGGTTTCCATGAACTGGTTTGCAACCAACTACTATTTTGAGATCATTTTCACAAATATTCTTGTCAAGCTTATTCCTCATCCTTCTTCCAGTGCATTATTAATAACATTTTCATCAAATTAATAATATGATAAGCATCAAATCACTAAAATACTACTATTACTACTAATTCATTATACTCAATGGCTAGTTTACATATTTAATAATATAGGAAAAAGTAGAAATGAAATCTTAATGAAGGATCTACATTAAAGTTCCCTATCTAAATCATGATTTGGTGATGCAAAATTTATACCAATTTGTCAACAAACTCTTTTAAAAACTACCAAACTTCCAGAAAAATATTTATGATTTCCTGGAAGAGAAAAATGCATACATGGTATCTACAGATACCATAGTTTGTCAAGTCCTAGTTGCTAAAAATAAGATATTTTTTCGACTGGATTTCACTTATGATTTTCTCTCTGTCAGGAAATTATAAATATTTTTGGAAGTTTGGTAGTTTTTAAAAGAGTTCAACATACCTTTGTGTACAATTTGGTATGACTTTTGCATCACAAAATCATGATTTACCAACTGTCTGCATTAATCAAAATATAGAAGAATAATGACCAAGGATTAATTGTCATTCATAGCTTTCCACTTTTATGAGAAACATTGAACATTATTTGAATATAATTTTTAAGATTATATTTTTTTATCCACTTAATGATCATGATATCCAACTCTCACTTAATTAAGTTCCTAATCATCGTAGCAGGATGCAGTTTGTTAATGCTTTGCTGAAATCAAGTTATATTTCTAATATTCCCACAATTAGAGCCAGTTTGGTTTAGTGATTAAGGCACCAGGCTAGAAATTGGAAGACCATGACTTCAAGTCCTGCTTAGTCATGAAAGCCAGCTGGGTACCTTGGGCCAGTTACCCTCTCTCAGTTCCAACCCAGTTCACAGGGTTGTGGATGGGGGAAAATAGGGGGATGAATGTGTGTTGAATGTGTTTGTTGCCTTGAGTTATTTGTAAGAATAATAAAGGTGGGCAATAAATAAATACATTGTAATGATATGTGAGAATCATGTGGGAATGTTCTTTGGGCATAGGGGAAGAAATATGCTTCCTAGGAACAATCATATAAGAGGATGGGAGTCTGCAGGTCCATAACGGGAAATAAAGAAACTCAGAGATGATCTGCATTAAATTTTCAGGCTGTAAAAATAGCTGGCGAGGGCTTCGTATTTTCAGGCTTGCAAAATTCTGTTACAATTTTACAATAAAGTAGAATTAGATCAAAGTCTACTTGGGAGAACATTAATTTACCAAACTTCTTCCTGACAAATCCATTCTTTTTATAATCAGCCTGTTCTTTTCAAAAAGGGTTTTGTATAGCAATTGCACTTAGACTTACATATCGCTTCACAGTGCTTTACAGCTCTCTCAAAGCAGTTTACAGAGTCAGCATATTGCCCCCAACAATCTGGTCCTCATTTTACCGACCTCAGAATGATGGAAGGCTGAGTTAAACTTGAGCTGGTCAGGATCGAACTTCTGGCAATAGGCAGTCAGCAGAATTATCCTGCAATACTGCATTGAAACCATTGCACCACCATGGCTCTTACACCCCCTTGTTTCTTTGTTTAATTTATTTGTGAGCTGCACTACAATGTTCCCTATAACTGACAAATTTTCCAAATATTTATTTTGTCAATATATGATTGACAAATTTTGCTTAACTGTTTTTTTTAATTACAATGTTATGGGTGACACTTGTTCTCCCAACTAAGTATATTTGCAAGTTAGACTAATTTAGAAGAATGATTCAAGTGTGAAAAGAACATATGGAATAAGAAATTAAGGTTTTTGGTTTTAAAATTCCTCAATGTTTTCATTCTAGTTCCACCCCTTCCTGGAGAAGAATGAGTTTTGCAATCTTTCCCAGCGGAAACTGTACTTGGACCAAAATGGGGAAATAGCAGCAGATTTCAAAATCATGAGTTTAGTGATTCTCCCCAATGAGGATCCCCTCAAAGAACAACTGGGGACTTTTGAAAGACAGACACTTGATATCAGCCAAGATGCCCTATCAAAGCTGAAGTTGCTCAACAAGGTAGCATATTTTCTTTGTTTTCCAGAACTTTAGGACTCTTTTCAAATTAGCTCAACCTACTCAGCATGGTGAATGACTATCACTGAGACTTGAACATGGGGAACCCAACCCTGATAGTATTTGTAGACAGCTTGGAAGTCTTCAATAATATTGATCAAGATCTTCACCTTCACCTGTTACAAGTAGTCCTTATGACCACAACTGAGCCCAAAATTTCTGTTGTTAAGTGAGACATTTGTTAAGTGAATTTTGCCTCATTTTATGACTTTTCTTGCCTCAGTTGTTAAGTGAATCTGCAAGTGACAAGTTAGTAAACTGGTTGTTAAGTGAATCTGGCTTCCCCATTGACTTTGCTTGTCAGAAGATCGCAAAAGGGACACAGCAAGAGTTATAAATATGAACCAGTTGCCAAGCATGTGAATTTTGATCACGTGACCATGGGGATGCTGGAAAGGTTGTAATGGTGAACAACTGTCATAGGTCACTTTTTCCAGTGTCATTGTAAATTTGAATGGTCACTAAATGAAATGTTGTAAGCCGAGGATTACCTGTACTTGTCCACAATTAGCAAAGAAAAAAAAGGCAATTTTGTTCACCTGTGCCCAAGTTCAGGTTTGAATGGAGTCAATAAAATTCAATCAGGTCTGGATTGACATCCTGTGGGTCCCAGTGCAAAATGAGTTTTGGAATCAAGATTCATGTGGCCAAATTAGGGATATTGTCCTCTGAAAGGTTAGGACCAAGGTCTGTGAATGTTGTTAAGCAGCCAAGACTTTGCCGAAGTTATTCATGCCTCTTTTTCTAAAACTGCATATGATAGATAGCAAAAAGTGAAACTCATGGATATGTGGAGGAAGGTGTGTTAACACAACCATGAGAGGGAATCAACTGGTTGTCACTTCATGTTTACATTTTTTTGTCAATTCCTTCCATCCAGATTTAATTAAATAGAAATGTACCATGTTGTAATGTGATTTACCAGAAGAAAAAGGCAAGAACTGAAGGAAGACCCCACCAATGGTAGTATCTCCTACAGCTATTTAGAACTATTTAGAGATTTTATATTAACCTGACTGAAGTCCAGAGAATATTTAGCTAATGTTCATGTCAACCTCCATTTTCCATGGATGGTGTGTCTTGATGCATTTTCTTTGGCATTCCTTGTTCTGCTTAGTCTTTGCCTCAGTCCAAATGTGTGGAAAATTGTCATCCTGGATTTGTCAAGCGGGCTCGGGAAGGAGAGCCCATTTGCTGCTATGACTGTGTTCCTTGTCCAGAGGGGACCATATCTACTCAAGAAGGTGGGTGACTGCCAAGGAAAGAGTTTTAGATCCATCCATTTATAACAAGGTAGAACTCAATCATTGTTTAAAATTGATACCAAATCTAGTATGGAAATATATTACTCTAACCTCACTTTTAGAAACTAAATACTTACATAGATAAATAAAAGCTGATTTTCTCTTCTTGAATTCATTTAGAATTGATCATTAACATTAAAAGATTTAATGTTATTTTTTTTCTTTGCTTACATAAAAGTATTTCTTTCATTATTTATCAAATTTACATGGCCAGCCATCTCATGATTTTACAGAACCATATTAAAGCAATTAACATTTTACAGAACCAGATTAAAGCAATGAAGCATTAAAAAAAAACGAAGATTGCGAGAGGGGAATGCATTAATCCAGTGGTTCTCAACCTTGGGTCGAGACCCCATTTGGGGTCGAATGACCATTTCACGGGGGTCGCCAAACAAGGCTGTCTGCCATTTTTTCCCCCTTTTCTTTGGCCACGCCCCTGGCACCCGGTAATGTATAAGTGGTTGGGGGTCACCACAACATGGGGAACTGTATTATGGGGTCGCGGCATTAGAAAGGTTGAGAACCACTGCATTAATCAATCAGAATAGAGCTGGAAGGGACTTTGGAGGTTTTCTAGTCCAGCCCCCTGCTCAAGCAGAAGACCCTATACCATTTCAGACAAATGCCTGTCCAGTCTCTTCTTAAAAAACTCCAGGGATGGAGCACCCATGATTTCTGAAGGCAAATCTGGTTAATTGTTCTCATTGTCAGGAAGTTTCTCCTTAATTCCAAGTTGACTTTTCTTCTTGATTAGTTTCCACCCATTGTTTCATGTCTTGCCTTTTGATACTTTAGAAAATAAATTGACCCCCTCCTCTTTGTGGCATTAAGATGTTACCTGTGAGGCATTCAGCTCACAGACAGGTGGTAGTGCATTCCCTTCTCAGGAGTCTCTCTATAGACCCAACTGTGTTAGTCAACTTTTAATAAGGGTCCAAATTTTGGGGGAAGGTTTGTTGAGAGCATGTTTGGGACTCAGTACCAAGATGGCTTTGGTTGAACTTACAGAGGATGTCTGAAGATGGGGTGAAAGTGCAACCATCTTGGTCCTTCTGGATTTCTCAGTGGCTTTCGATACCACCAACCAAAGTATCATTTTGGATTCAGGATTGAGAGTGGGAGGAAGTTTTGCACAGGGTCTCTTTTTTCAATAGACAGTTACAGTTGGTGGTGTTCAGGGACAGAAGTTACACCTTGGGCTCCAGCAATGGGACATCCCTCAGGGGTGTAGCTTGAGCTTTTCTTCTTTCCACTTTATCATTTACATGAAGTTGCTAGGTGAGGTCATTTGCCACTATGGGATATGGTGTCATGGTAGACTTGCTATGTAGGCCTTCTCGCAATCAGACAACAGTAATGGGAGGGGGCAGGAATACATTGGATTGGAGGCTTGGGAGGGAACTTTGGAATGCAAGTGTGCTGACTGGAAGTCAGAGATGGACCTAACACCCCAAGGTCAGTGTCTGGGAATGTTTGAGGCAAACAAACTGTTCCCAAAACAAAGCAAGTGCAAATAATTGGTGGACAATGGAAAATGGGAGGTCCAGAGAGGAAAAGAGAAAGTTTCCCTATGATGTTTGTGTGCGAAATAGTTAGAATTGGCTTTTCTACTTCTGTACCCATATGGAATCTTCACTAAAGTTATACTCTCCCAGGACTTTCTTTTGCTGTCTAACCCAATGTGGCGGTTGACATATGGTATCATCCATACACCACTTATGACTAGGCATATGTGCTGTTGTTGTGGAGGCTGAGCACCTGGATGGGAATGAACTGACTTTGACCCTGGCAAGATGGAGTGGCTGCCTGTTTTTGACCATCAAAGGTTGTACTGATAAGCTATCTCAGACTCTAGATGAGGTGGCCTCTGGATAAAGGTAGTACATCATTTGGAGGTCCTCCTAGACTCATGGCTACTGCTCAACAAGCAGGTGGCAGTCTTGGCTAGAGAGCCTTCACACAGATTCTTCTTGTGCACCAACTGCGCTTCTTCCTCTACTGGGGACATGTGCTCATGCTTTAGTCACTTCCTGTTTGAATTACTACAATGTACACTATATTGGATTGCTCTTGAAGTCCACCTGCAAGGTAGAAATTGTCCAGAATGCAATGACATGCACATTGTTGGTTTCCCTATGTAGAGACCTATTGTGTGAGCTGCAAAGCATATTGGAATTTTTCAACTGCCATTCAGTTCACCTTTAGGTGTTGCCACAAAGAAAAGGAGGGTCAAGCAGGACAAGAAGCAATGGATGGAAACTAATCAAGGAGAGAAGCAGAACTAAGCAGAACTTCTTAGGACTAAGAAGACATTTCCTAATACTTAGAACAATTAATCAGTGGAACAACTTGCCTCCAGAAGCTGTGAATGCTCCAACACTGGAAGTTTTTAAGAACAGACTGGACAACCATTTATCTGAAATGGTATAGGGTTGGCCTAGAAGAGATCCCTTCCAACTATTCTATTCTATTCTATTCTATTCTATTCTATTCTATTCTATTCTATTCTATTCTATTCTATTCTATTCTATTCTATTCTATTCCATTCCATTCCATTCCATTCTATTCTATTCTATTCACATGACATGAAATAAATTCCAATATCAGTGTGACTTCTTCTACTTGATGATAACAGCTTGTCTCAAGCTTTAATAGATATCCTCAAGATCTGTTCCCCAAAATGTTGCTACTTAGTACATCCTCAGAAGCCTGCATTTTCTGTTGAAGCTTCTTTCTTATTGAACACCTTCTCCCTTAAAATATAACACCCTCCCGCAACTTTCAAGTGGCCCAGTTCTTCTTCCTGCCATGGGATCAGGTGATACAGAATGAGATGTGGTGAATTGCCTGAATACAGGGTAGTTGTTGTGACAAGCATTTCTTTTTTGGGAGTTTATTTAATTGTTATTGTTGTTTTTATAGTTGTATATATGGTGTCTCTCTGTGTGTGTTGCTGAGCTGTAAACTGTCCAAAGTTTGGTTTAAGAGAGGAAGCCAAGGATATTGTATACATTTTACAATTTATTATGGCTTGCCTCTCTCTTAGGATCATCTGATATTCAAAGAAGGTCTTTCTTTACATGTGAAAGAAGACACAGTAAAAGAAATATTTTTTCTGTTTTCTCAGATACTGAAAAATGCACCAAGTGCCCAGATGTTCAATATCCAAATGAGAACCAAATCCAATGTATCCTCAAGAGAATAAACTTCCTGTCATATGAGGAACATCTGGGCATCATCCTGGTCTCCTTTGCCCTACTCTTGTTCCTAACCACAGGCTTTATTTTAATCATATTTGTTACACACCTAGAAACTCCCATTGTCAAAGCCAACAACCGGGATCTCTCCTACATTCTCCTGGTTTCCCTCCTCCTTTGTTTCTTATCCTCCTTTTTCTTCATTGGCCAACCAAGGAAAGCCACTTGTCTTCTCCGACAAATGGTGTTCAGCATTGTCTTCTCAGTAGCTGTGTCTTCTGTGTTGGCCAAAACAATCACAGTAGTGGTAGCCTTCTTAGCCACGAAACCAGGGAACAGAATGAGAAAATGGTTGGGGAAGAGTTTGGCCAACTCCATCATCCTTTCTTGTTCTGGTGTCCAAATTCTCATCTGTGCCATGTGGTTGGGAGTTTATCCTCCTTTCCCTGACTCTGATCTATATTCTGAGCCTGGAGAGATCATCCTTCAATGCAATGAAGGCTCTGTTGTCATGTTTTATGTTGTTCTTAGCTACATGAGTTTCCTAGCTGTCATTTGTTTTGTAGTGGCTTTCCTGGCCAGGAATCTCCCTGGGGCCTTCAATGAGGCCAAGCTGATCACCTTCAGTATGCTGGTCTTCTGCAGCGTCTGGATCTCCTTCCTCCCCACCTACCTGAGCACTAAAGGAAAATTCATGGTGATTGTGCAGATCTTCTCCATCTTGTCTTCCAGTGCAGGTCTACTGGGCTGCATCTTCTTCCCCAAGTGCTACATTATCCTCCTGAGACCTGATCTAAACACTAAGGAATATCTAATGATAAAAGTGGAAAACTGATTGTGAATTGGTTTCTTGGCATGATAACATTTAATTATTAATTGAACTGATTACAGAGTTTGTATGCTTTATTGTATCTGTTTATCAATTAAGGTTATTTAATAATGAAAGAATTAAAAATGTGAAATTTAAGAATTGTGAAATTAAAATCCAAGCTAATAATCGAACATAAAATATATGAATTAATAAATAAATGTATCATTCATTTATCCCTACTTTTTCTCAGTGTACTGGAGATTTGCTTCTTGAACATAGAAAAGGTGGCAGCTGAAGCCGATGGTTGGGATGATCATATAAATACCTTTTGCAAATTAGGGTCCAAATAATGTTTCAGGGTGCTTGCTTCTTAGAAGGAATTTTGTTGCAGGATCCAGGTTAATGGCAGAATCACAGTCTCTCTGTGGGGGAAGGACAGATGGTTCTTCCTCCCCCAAAACATCTGCAAACTTCAGGAATTGGAATCTCTCTGTTAATGTTCAGGGGTAGCCAGTGGGGGAGGGAGGTTGGGATGAATTATTAAAGTGAGAAAGGCAATGTGAGTTGTCAGAAGGTAAATAGAATGGTATGGAATGGAGAGTGGAATAGAATAGAATAGAATAGAATAGAGCTAGAAGACCTTTAGGAGTCTTCTAATCCAGCCCCCTGCTCAAGCAGGAGACTCTATACCATTTCAGACAAGTGGCTGTCCAGTCTCTTCTTGAAAACCCCCAGTGATGGAGCACCTACAACGTCTGAAGGCAAGCTGTTCCATTGATTTATTGTTCTCACTATCAGGAAATTTCTCCCTAGTTCTAGGTTGGTTCTCTCCTTACTTAGTTTCTTGCCCTGCCTTCAGGTCCTTCGGAAATTGCCAAAGGGTAAAAACAGCAGCAATGCTCTTAGAGAAGCAATTGTTGCTGCCCATCAATCTGAGAAAGTTTTAAAGCCATTTCCAAATAATTTAAAGTCCATCATTCTACAGCAGTGGTTCTCAACCTTTCTAATGCCGCGACCCCCATGGGGAATACAGTTCCCCATGTTGTGGTGACCCCCAACCACTTATACATCACTGGGTGCCAGGAGTGTGGCCAAAGAAAAGGGGGAAAAAATGGCGGACAGCCTTGTTTGGCGACCCCCGTGAAATGGTCGTTCGACCCCAAATGGGGTCCTGACCCACAGGTTGAGAACCACTATTCTACAGTGAGGAAGATTATTCACAAGTGGAAAACTTTCAAGACAATTGCCAATATTTCGAGGAGTGGAACATCCCCAAAAATTCACCCCAAGGTCAGACTGTGCAATGCTCAGAGAAATTAACCCCAAGAGTTACATCTCAGACTCTACAGGCCTCAGTTAGCATGTTAAATGTTAAAGTTCATGACAATACAATTAGAAAAAGACTGAACAAGTATGGTTTCTTTAGAAAGACTTCCAGAGAAAGTCTCTTCTCTCTAAAAAGAACACTACAGCACAGCTTGAGTTTGCAAAGTTGTATCTGAACCAATCACAAGACTTCTGGAACACTGTCCTTTGGATAGACAAGTGGAGATGTTTGCCCATAATGTGCAGTGCCACATTTAGCAAAAACCAAACACTGCATATCAGCACAAGCACCTCATATCAACCATCAAGCATCATGGTGAAGGGGTGATAATTTGGGCTTCTTTTGCAACCATAGGACCTGAGCACCTTGAAAGACATTGAGTCAATCATCAACTCCTCTTATATCAAAGTATTCTAGAGTCAAATGTGAGGCCATCTGCCCAACATCCAACATTGGGTCATGCAACAATGGGACAATGATCCCAAGCACACTAAATCTATAACAAAATGACTGAAAAAGAAATGAATCTAGGTGTTGCAATGTCCTAGTCAAAGTCCAGACCTTAACCCAATTGAAATGCTGTGGCAGGACCTTAAGAGAGCTGTGCATCAACAAATCTCCACAAACCTCAATGAACTGAAGCAATGTTATAAAGAAGGGTGGACCAAAATTCCTCCACAATGATGTGAGAGACTGATGAAGTCATACAGAAAATGATAACTTCAAGTTATTGCTGCTAAAGGTAGTTCTACATACTCTTGAATCATAGGGTCTACTTACTTTTTCACATGTGGCTTCTCCATTTTGCCTTTCTTTTTGTAAAATAAACAATGTTGTTGTATAATATGTCATGTTGTTGTTCATCTGAGATTGTACTTACCTAATTTTAAGAACTGCTAAGGACCAGATGATTTCTACTATGTCCTGATATGTAAACCCATAGAATTCACTGAGGGCATAGCGTATTTATTTTTTCTGGACTATACAATAGACAGATGACTTATTGTGATCCAAAGATAGATAGATAGATAGATAGAGATAGGTAGGTAGATAGATAGATAGATAGATAGATAGATAGATAGAATATATTTTCTCTATGGTCAGAATTCAAAAGTAATATATAATAGAGGCATTTATTTGAACAAAACAGTTCAGTTGAGATCTGTGTTTGTGGGTCTGTCTGTGGTTAATTGGAGAAATGATAAGAAATATGATTTACTTTCTGCCTGCCAGCATGCGATAGAAGATCATAGGGACTGTCGGGGGGACATAAGATTAGCAAAAATGTTTAAAAATGCTTCAGACAACTGTTGGAAATGTAAACAAAGACCAGGTATTTATTATCGTATCTGGTGGACATGCCCTAAAGCAAAAAAGATTTTGGGTTAAAATACATTTATGGTTGGAGAAAGTGACTAAAAAGCAAATAGACTTTAAGCCAGAATTATTTTTATTAGGAATAATAGGAGCAAACTATGAGAAAGATTGCATATATTTAATACTACATATACTAATGGCAGCAAGAATTGTATTTGTCCAACATTGGAAAAATGAAAATTTAGCAGCTGAAGAAGTACTAATTAAGAAAATTTTAGAGTGTGCAGAAATGGATAGATAAAGATATCTTATCTTTAAAGATAAAAGAGAAAGAAGACTCAGTGTATTTTAGAACATGGGATAGTTTCTACCAATGGCTAGAAAAACAAGTTAGAGAGAAAGGAATGTGATATGTATCTCTGAATATATATTAACAAGAAGAAGACTATTGAGTGATTAATTAACATATTGTTTATGATAATTAACTATTATCTATTATTGTTTGCTCCCCTTTATGGATTACTGCCTTGTCGTGGCGAAGGGGCTTGCATAACTCAATGAAGCTATAAGCTATGCCGTGCAGGGCCACCCAAGACGGACAGGTTATAGCAGAGAGTTCTGACAAAATATGATCCACTGGAGAAGGAAATGGCAAACCACTCCAGTATCTTTGCCATGAAAACCCCATGGACAGTACTAAAAGGCAAAAAGATATGACGCTGGAAGATGAGCCCCCCCAGATTGGAAGGTGTCCAATATGCTACTGGGGAAGAGCAGAGGGCTAGTACTAGTAGCGCCAGAAAGAATGAAGCGACTGGGCCAAAGCCGAAAGGACGCTCAGCTGTGGATATATCTGGTGGTGAAAGGAAAGTCCAATGCTGTAAAGATTTTTTCTCCATAGGAACCTGGAATTAAGATCCATGAATCAAGGCAAGCTAGACAGTCAAAAAAGAGATGACAAGACTGACCATCAACATCTTAGGAATCAGCGAACTAAAATGGACAGGAATGGGTGAATTTAACTCAGATGACCATCAGGTATACTACTGTGGGCAAGAATCCCTCAGAAGAAATGGCGTAGCCTTCCTAGTCAATAAAAGAATAGGAAAAGCAATACTGGGATACAATCCCCAAAATGACAGAATGATCTCAATTCGAATCCAAGGCAAACCATTCAATATCACAATAGTCCAAATTTATGCCCCAACCACTGGTGCTGAAGAGGATGAAATTGACCAGTTTTATGAAGCTCTACAGCACCTTATAGAATTAACACCAAAAAATGATGTCCTTATCATCATGGGGGATTGGAATGCTAAGGTAGGAAGCCAAAAGATAACCGGAACAGGCAAGTTTGGCCTTGGAGTACAAAATGAAGCAGGGCACAGGCTAATAGAATTTTGTCAAGAGAATACGATGGTCATAACAAACACTCTTTTCCAAAACCCAAGAGACGGCTCTACACATGGACATCACCAGACGGTCAACATAGAAATCAGATTGACTATGTGCTCTGCAGCCAAAGATGGAGAAGCTCTATACAGTCAGTAAAAACAAGACCAGGAGCTGACTGTGGCTCAGATCATGAGCTTCTCGTTGCAAAATTTAGGCTTAAATTGAAAAAAGTAGGGAAAAGCACTAGGCCACTCAGGTATGAACTAAATCATATTCCTGATGAATATACAGTAGAGGTGACAAATAGATTTAAGGAACTGGATCTGATAGACAGAGTGCCTGAAGAACTATGGATGGAAGTTCGCAACATTGTACAAGAGGTAGCAACTAAAACCATCCCAAAGAAAAAGAAATGCAAGAAAGCAAAATGGCTGTCTGAGGAAGCTTTGCAAATAGCGGAGGAAAGAAGGGAAGCAAAAGGCAAAGGAGAAAGAGAAAGATACACCCAATTGAATGCAGAATTCCAGAGAGTAGCTAGAAGAGATAAGAATGCCTTCTTAAATGAACAGTGCAAAGAAATAGAAGAAAACAACAGAATAGGGAGGACCAGAGATCTCTTCAAGAAAATTGGAGATATGAAGGGAACGTTTCATGCAAAGATGGGCATGATAAAGGACCAAAATGGCAGGGACCTAACAGAGGCAGAAGAGATTAAGAAGAGATGGCAAAACTACACAGAAGAACTATACAAGAATGAGCTTAACATCCCAGATAACCACAATGAGATGGTCACTGACCTCGAACCAGACATCCTAGAATGTGAAGTGAAATGGGCCTTAGAAAATCTGAGCAACAACAAAGCTAGTGGAGGTGACAGTATTCCAGCTGAGCTATTCAAAATCTTAAAAGACGATGCAGTAAAAGTGCTACACTCAATTTGCCAGCAAATTTGGAAAACTCAACAGTGGCCACAGGATTGGAAAAGGTCAGTTTACATTCCAATTCCAAAGAAAGGCAATGCCAAAGAATGTTCAAACTATCGCACCATTGCACTCATTTCACATGCTAGTAAAGTTATGCTTAAAATCCTACAAGCTAGACTCCAGCAGTATGTGGATCGAGAACTACCAGAAGTACAGGCAGGATTTCGAAGAGGCAGAGGAACTAGAGATCAAATTGCCAACATACGCTGGATCATGGAGAAAGCTAGGGAGTTCCAGAAAAACATCTACTTCTGCTTCATTGACTATGCAAAAGCCTTTGATTGTGTGGATCACAACAAATTGTGGCAAGTTCTTAAAGAGATGGGAGTACCAGACCATCTCATTTGTCTCTTGAGAAACCTATATGCGGGTCAAGAAGCAACAGTGAGAACTGGACACGGAACCACTGATTGGTTCAAAATTGGAAAAGGAGTCCGGCAAGGCTGTATACTGTTGCCCTGCCTATTTAACTTATATGCAGAGCACATCATGAGAAAGGCAGAGCTAGATGAATCAAAAGTTGGAATTAAGATTGCCGGGAGAAATATCAACAACCTAAGATATGCAGATGATACCACTCTAATGGCAGAAAGTGAAGAGGAACTAAAGAGCCTCTTGATGCGGGTGAAGAAGGAGAGTGCAAAAGTTGGCTTGAAACTCAACATTAAGAAAACCAAAATCATGGCATCCGGCCCTCTCAATTCCTGGCAAATAGATGGGGAAGAAATGGAGGTAGTGACAGATTTTATTTTTCTGGGCTCCAAGATCACCTCAGATGGGGACTGCAGCCAAGAAATTAAAAGACGCTTGCTCCTGGGGAGGAAAGCTATGGCAAATCTAGACAGCATACTAAAAAGCAGAGACATCACCCTGCCAACAAAAGTGCGTATAGTCCAGGCCATGGTTTTCCCAGTTGCAATGTATGGCTGTGAAAGTTGGACCATAAGAAAGGCTGAGCGCAAAAGAATTGAGGCCTTTGAACTATGGTGCTGGAGAAGACTCCTGCGAGTCCCTTGGACTGCAAGTCGTTCAAACCGGTCAGTCCTAGAAGAGATCAACCCTGACTGCTCTTTAGAAGGCCAGATCCTGAAGTTGAAACTCAAATACTTTGGCCACCTAATGAGAAGGAAGGACTCACTGGAAAAGGCCTAATGCTGGGAAAGATTGAGGGCAATAGAAGAATGGGGACGACAGAGAATGAGATGGCTGGATAGAGTCACTGAAGCAGTAGGTGTGAACTTAAATGGACTCCAGAAGATGGTAGAGGACAGGAAGACCTGGAGGAACATTGTCCATGGGGTCGCGATGGGTCGGACACGACTTCGCAATTAACAACAAAATTATTGTTTGTTAAATACATGAACCCAGACATTATGCTGTCTGCTAAATATTGAGAATGTTATTTGGGAAAATCCCAACCCCAACCCCAACACTAATAATAACCCTAACCCAAATCCCAACCCCAATCCCACCTTATTCCTAACCCTATAAAAATAAAAACAGGATTGCCAACATGATCACCAATGTCCGATAATGGATATGGCGCAAGAAGAAGAAAAATACAAAAAAAGAGAAAGAAAGAGAGAGAGAGAGAGAGAGAGAGAGAGAGAGAGAGAGAGAGAGAGAGAAAGAAGAAAGAAGGCAGAAAAAAGGAAGGCAGAAAGAGAGAAAGAAAGAAAGAAAGAAAGAAAGAAGAAAGAAAGCAGAAAGAAAGAGGAAAAAAGAAAGAAAGAGAGAAGGAAAGCAGAAAGAAAGAGGAAGAAGGAAGAAAGAAAGAGAAGAAGGAAGAAAGAAAGAAAGAAAGAAAGAAGAAGGAAAAGAAAGAAAGAAAGAGGAAGAAAGGAAGACAGAAAGAAAAAAGAGAGAAAGAAAGTAAAAAGGAAGAAAGAAAGAAAGAAAGGAAGGAAGGCAGAAAAAAGGAAAGAAGGTAGAAAAAAAGAGAGAGAGACTGAAAGAAGGCTGAAAGAAAGAGGAAGGAAAGCAGAAAGAGAGAAGAAAGAAAGAAAGAGTTCTGAGTAGCTTACATGAGTACTGAAGTAAAATAAACAAAATGAAAAAGGGGGGGAAAAAATCTCAGCTCCAACCTATTCTATATCTTTCCCTTATTTGCCAAGTGATATAGTCCTGTCCCTTGGTGAACTCTTACAAAGAAATTGGTAAGCTAAACTGTAGGATGAATAAGAAAAGGAAGAAACATTTAAAAAGCCATAATTTTAATAGCAGGCAGAGTTCAACCATACTGATGCTTATGGGACTTAGTAGGTAGAGAGAAATAGAAATAGGTCATATCAGCATTGAGGAGCATCAAACTCAAATGGACCTCAGTAACCCTCCCCAGATGTCTCTGTGGATGCTGAAAAGCACAGGAGACAAGTTAACTGTTCCTGAAGGACATCAGAAGTCAAATCACCTCCCATTTTCCATCATCACTTTCTGGACATGACCCAAGAGAGAAGACCACAACTGCTGCAGAACTCTGCCCCCATGGTTGTTGTTTCTGCCATTTTAACAAACATAGGTATATCTTTATTATGGAATCCCCATAGAAGTTCAGGATCTCCGAGAGGACATGTTGCTTCTCACTGTAATTATTACCATTTTTGTTTTGAGACCTTTTCTTCTGCTTCTCCAGTGATTGCCCTTGATGTAAACAGACTGAAGCAATGTGGAAGGGATCCGGCATCAGAAAAAGATAAGCGCCTTTCTTCTGGCTGAAGGTTTAGCATATGTTTTAAGGCAAGCAGGGACTATGTTGTCGAACCTATATTTTTTTTTCCAATTTATGGTAAAGGTTTGTTGTGCTCTGTCGGCATCAGGAAAAACACTGTTTTTCCATGTTGAGAGAATCCTTTGAATTTGTCTGCCTTCTTGAACTTTGGAGACAGGGAGATGACTGATTCAGCTCGGGGAGGAATGGACCTCCTGTTTTTGCTCCTACTGCTGCTGTTGCTGCCCCAGGCAAATACCGAGAAGCGGAGAATCCAATGTTCCCTGACTTTGGAGCAGCAGCGAGGGGTGAAGCCGTGGAATCATTACAGTCAAGGAGATCATCTGATTAGTATGATTCTTACTGCAACACATGCTCTATACAAGCCATTCCATTTCAGCGAGATGCCTTTTGTTCAATCTATTGTGTAAGTAATTCAGCCTGTGGCATGCTCCTTAGAATAGAATAGAACTGGAAGGGACCTTGGAGGTCTTCTAGTCCAGCCCTTCGCTCAAGCAGGAGAACCTATACCATCTCAGACAAGTGATTGTCCAGTCTCTTCTTAAAAACCTCCAGTGATGGAATGCCCGTGATTTCTGAAAGCAAGCTGTTCCACTGGTTAATTGTCCTCACTGTTAGGAACTTTCTCCTTAATTCCAGGTTACTTCTACCTTGGATGAGTTTCCAACCATTGTTTCTTGTCCTGCCCTTTTCTCCTTTGGAGAATAATTTGACCCTCTCTTCTTTGTGACAGCCTCTCAAATATTGGAATACAGCTATCATGTCACCCCCGTTTTTTTCTTTTCTTTAGAGTAGTTCAATTTTTGGGGGACCATTTGGTGGAGAAAGGGGAAATGAGTTTTTGTCACTCAGAGTGTCTGAAACACATGTCTCTGTGTGAATAAATTCTGCTGGAAAAAGCTGAAGGTAACTGTGTGAATACATTCTGCTGGAAAAAGCTGAAGGTAACCTGGAAGGAAAGAAGCACTAAACAGTGATATAAACTTAAAGAGAAGTTTGTCACCTGCTCAGCTGTTCAGTTTGTAGGATACATGGCTCAGTCTGGGCAGAGTGGAAACACCTGCAGTGCCTGACTTCAGTGCTAACATTTGCGGCTTTGATACAAATAAGGGGATAGAAACTGACAAGTATTGGAGGTTTTCTCTTTCCTAGGGCTTCCCCTCGTGTTAAATGCTAAATCATATCCAACTTTTAAAAAAGAAGTCTTTCAACTTGCAAAATTAATTAGCAATTTGCCTTTGAATCTGGATCAAACCTGGTTTAAGACTAAAAAGGTTTATAAAATCAAACGGGAATAAACTCAACATACATTATTGGGGGTCAGTGGTGGTGATGATGATGATGATGTGTACATTTGTTTGCAGTGAATCAGAAACTCAGAATTCAGTTCTTCTATCCTCCATTTTGGCCTTTCAAGAGGTCAACAAGAAAAGCCATCTCCGGCACAACCTCACACTGGGTTACAATATCCATGACAACTATATGAACACCATTGTGACTTCAGATGCCTTGCTGGACATCCTCTCTACTGGAGAAGCCAATGTTCCCAACTATAGCTGTGGAAAAAAGGACAATCTCTTGGCTCTTATTGATGCAAGTGATGATGACATCTCTGTGCAGATATCCACTGTGGCAGGGTTCTACAAAATCCCACAGGTTGGTGTGAGAGTGTATCCATTGTAAATGTACTGATCTGACAGTGTATACATGTGATAGGTTGTGGGTTAGTGATAGCTCCAGATTCATCTTCTCCATGAAAACCAGAACTGTATTTCATTGAGGTCACTGGAGGTGTCATGGCTAGGGACTCAAAATCCACAGTGGGGAAAGGGAAAGGAACAAAGCAGCCATAGTTCCCCATGACAGCATCCCCATAATTTCTAGGGCTTCTGCTGCATCCTCATGAATATGCAAGAGATAAAAAGAATAAGTAGGGACAGAGCTATGACAGACTAAATGTGCAGAGAACAACAACAAAGATGATTAGGGAACTGGAGGCTAAAACATATAAAGAACGGTTGTTGGAATTGGGTATGTCTAGTTTAATGAAGAGAAGGACTAGGGTGACATGATAGCAGTGTTCCAATATCTCAGGGGTTGCCATAAAGAAGTGGGAGTCAAGCTATTCTCTAAAGCATCTGAGGGCAGGACAATCAAGGAAAGAAGCAACCTAGAACTAAGAAGAAATTTCTTGACAGTTAGAACAATTAATCAATGCAGCAACTTGCTTCCAGAAGTTGATGTTGATCCGGTTCCAGATAAAACAAAACATTCTTTCTTTTTCAGATTGCTTATAAAAGTGTTTCAGACACTCTGAGTGACAAAACTCATTTCCCTTTTCTCCACCAAATGGTCCCCAAAGAAAGAATCCTGTACCCAGCAATAGTCAAACTTCTCCTCCATTTCAGATGGACCATGGTTGGCATTGTTGCTTCAGACACAGACAATGCTGAGAATTTTGTCAGGACTTTGACTCCTATGCTAATCAAGAATGGCATTTGTGTGGTTGTTTCACAAAGATTCTCAATGATTAGACATACAATATTCAATACTGCTGCCCTCATTAGCTGGAGACAAGTGAATGTCTTTGTTTATTTTATGGAAATTGTTTGTCTCCCGCAAGGAATGCACACTGTATACGAGACACTTGAAGACTTGTCAGAACCCATTGAAGGAAAAGTCTGGATCACCACAGCCTTATATGTATATTACCATTTATTGCAACCTACTTGGAGTTATTTACGATACATCCATAGTATTTTCTCCTTTCTTATCATTGACAAAAAAGGACAAAAATATGATTCCTTTGCAGACTTTTACTATTTTAACAGAGATTTCAAAGAAAAGGCTTTTAACTGTTCTTTTTCCAAGCATGTCTTTTCTTTCAAAGGCCGGAGAAGATGCATCGAGAAAGCACCATTGGATATGCTACAGGAAAGGAGAGGAATCCTGATTTCAAATGACCACCGCTTCTACAGTGTTGTTAAGATGGTGACACATGCATTGAATGCTGCATATTCCTCCAGATCCAAGGGGAGAAAGAATGAAGGCAAAGAGAAGTTGGGGACTCCAAGGGTGCAGCCATGGCAGGTATGGGGTCCTGCAAGGATCCATTAAACTTAATTCCTTCCAAGAAAGAATGGAAAGGAGAAGGAGGGAACCACCTCAACCTCCTGCTCTTCCACCACCTTCTGCTCCCAATTCTAGGGATGGGAAGGAGCACGTTAAACATCTCTTTGGTATTTGCTGATTATTTTCATATCTTGCCCCTGTTTGTCACAACTGCAGGTAGTTTGTTTGTGTCTAGTAGGCAGGGTCTAGGACAATTGGTGGCAGCCGCCTTGCCCTGGTTGCCTCAACTCAGTCTCCCATCCCCTCCAACCCACAGCAGCTGCCCCTCCACAGGTGCCCCTCCCTGACCATGCCCCCTTAGCTGCCTCTGCCTGGTCGCTTCACCCTAGGCGATTCGCCACATGGGACAACTAACTATGCGGGATAACTCAACAAATGCTGCAGTGTTTCTCAACCATGACAATTTTAAGGCGTGTGGACTTCAACTCCCAGAATTTCACAGCCAGCATTGCATTGCATTGCATTGCTGGCTGTGGAATTCTGGGAGTTGAAGTCCACATGCTTTAAAATTGTTAAGGTTGAGAAACACTGCGCTAGAGGGACCTGTTTTCATGACCAGTCCATGTGCTAAGAGATGGGCCTCTGCCTTCCCATTGGACGCCAAGCATGGTTGATCTGGTCTGGTTCACCATTACACTGCTCTTCCTTCTGATATGCTTTTCCTATTGTTTAGCACAGAATCTGCTTTCCTGTAATTAAGTTTATTTATTCATAGAGGGATAGAATCAAGATCATGTGCAGTATTAATATCACTTTACAAAGCCTTAGTATGGCTTTTCTTCAATGTTAAATCTCTTAATTATTACTGTTAAATCTTAATTAAATTAATTAATTAATGTTAAACTCCTTAATTGTTGCATAAATCCTTCAAGCCCTTATTCAGTCCACATCTTCTTAAATCATTAAAACGATAAATCATCATTTCATTTGCTTTTTTCTTCGGTTATCCTAGATGAATCAATTTTCTATACTCTTTTCTAGTTCATTGTTTGTAAGTCCCAATAAAACAATTGTAGTTTCTTTACAATATTAATCTTCAAACTTCTTTGTATCTTCATGTGTATTTGTTCTCCTCCTCCTCCTCCTCCTCCTCCTCCTCCTCCTCCTCCTCCTCCTCCTCCTCCTCCTCCTCCTCCTCTTCTTCTTCTTCTTCTTCTTCTTCTTCTTCTTCTTCTTCGTCTTCTTCTTCTTCTTCTTCTTCTTCTTCTTCTTCTTCTTCTTCTTCTTCTTCTTCTTCTTCTTCTTCTTCTTCTTCTTCTTCTTCTTCTTCTTCTTCTTCTTCTTCTTCTTCTTCCTTCTCCACCATGCATGATAAAATGTCCCTTCATGTTTTTCAATTGACACAAGATACATCTCGTGTATTAGGCACATCACAGCGTTGGAACGGCAGCAGGCAGAGGCAGAAAGTGGGAGGGAGAGGTATGCGACCCTGCCTGCCAAAAACAGATGGTGGGACAGAGTGGGTGAGGTCTTAAGTAGAGCTTATTTTTGGGCCCACCCCAAAACTCAAGCTAGGGCTTATTTTCGGGGTGGGTCTTATTTTTGGGGAAATACGGTATTACATGCTCATCTTTTCTACATAGTTCAGTTTCAGATTCTGTTTTATGTTTTTTAATTCCAGTTATCCTTTTATCTACATCAAATCTTCCTTTTAATTGTGCATATGAAAAACCACTGAAGACTATATTCTATTGCAGTCACTCGCATTCTTCATTTCCTCTTAAGTTCTCCATCTTCCTGCATTAATAATTCTTGCTGTGTTAGCTATTTCTCACTATTTGGTGTTTCTTTTCCATAAAATGCTTCCTGAGCTGAGGTCAGGAAGGCACAACTGGGTTTCTATTTATTTCACATTCTTGATATGGAACTTTTCACCTAATAATTCTTACATTAATTTTTACTTTTCATATCATAAACCTCCATGCCAAACAAATCACAGCTTATGCAGTTTCACTTCTACATTTTGGTTTCTTAACAAGACCCACTCTTTTATCTAAACCAAACCACATGTTGCAAAGAACTATTTAAAGTCAGGTAAAGCTAAATCTCCTCTACCTTTTACAATTTTATATTTGACTTTTGGTTTCTTATCTCTTTGTAAATCTATCTGTCTATCTATCTATCTATCTATCTATCTATCTATCTATCTATCTATCTATCTATCTATCTATCTATCTATCATAGTTTAAAAGATGGATCATTTTTCAAAACTGATATTGTTGAAGATAAAAAATATCATTCCAGGTAATACATTCATTTTCTATTACAGAGATTCTACCATAAGCAGTGATCATAGGAATTTTTCTCATCTCAGTACATCTAGTTTAATTCCATCCCACACCTTAATACAATTATTCGGAAGTACCATACAATTCATTGTTGTTGTTGTTAATTGTGAAGTCATGTCCGACCCATCGCGACCCCATGGACAACGTTCCTCCAGGTCTTCCTGTCCTCTACCATTTTCTGGAGTCCATTTAAGTTCACACCTATTGCTTCAGTGACTCCATCCAGCCATCTCATTCTTTGTCGTTCCCTTCTTCTATTGCCCTCAATCTTTCCCAGCATTAGGCCCTTCTCCAGTGAGTCCTTCCTTCTCATTAGGTGGCCAAAGTATTTGAATTTCATATTGGACCTAATAATACCCATAGATTTCATCTTTTTTTAAAATTTAAAAACCAGTTTTCCAAAATAGTTATTTTTGATCTTTTATAATTATAATTTTTGTTAACATTTTTGTTGTTTCTTTGTTAATTCTAATTACCGCTAATGCACCAAATTCATCAAGTTTCTATACACACACACACACACACACACACACTGATCTATATTTATCTACCTTCTATATCTGTTATCCCCCCCATCTACTTATCTATCTCCTTTAAACAGAAATAGAAGTAAAAAAACAAAAAACAAAAATCCAAATTCAACTGATATCTTATCCCATTTTTTATTTTCTTAGTTCAAATTTTTATACAGGATGTTTTCTTCTAATTCCAATCTTATTTTCTTTTCTCTGTTAGTTTTATTTCTTTCCCTGAGTGAGGGCTCATCCATCAGATCGGTATTAATTTTTCTATGTGTGTTGAAGATCTCTATTTGCTGTAATTTCCCCTCCCCCCAAAGAAATGTGCTTTACAGAGTAGATTTAGTGTCCATAAACAGTCTTTGTCTGAGGTTTGGAGCTAGTTGTGCTCCAAAGTTCTCAGTGATCTGCTCAGGAGCAGCTGACAAGATCCCTTCAGATTTTGTCAATCTTCTCTCACGGAGCACAGATGGGCAATCTCACAGTTTGCTCCTTGTCCAAGGAAGTGCTGCTCATTGTGGCATAAACCAAGCTGCCAGTCGTCTCTTTAATTTCATCTCAATAACTTGACTCCCAGCTTTGCAAAATTCAAGGTATATACTATCAGCAGCATTCCCAAATCTATTAAGAAAATTAAATGATAAAAAAAAATAGGAAATTAGCTTGGTAAACTTTCATCTTGACAAATCTTTTGGCTTTTGCTTTTGGAAATTACTTCATCATCATTCACTATTTATAAATGATCTCTTTACGTTTTGCTCTAGAACAGGGGTGTCAAACTCAATTTCATTAAGGGCCACATCAGCATTGCGGTTGCCCTCAGGGGGGAGTGGGTGGGTGTGGCTGGGGGGGGCGCAGCCTACTGGGTGGGTGTGGATGGAGTGGGTGTGGCCTACTGGGTTGGCATGGCCAGCTCTACATCGTTCACGTCAAGGGCGCCTGTGGGGCCCTGGGCAGGAGTGGGACAGATCTGAGGGTCTCTGGCAGAAGGGGGTGGGACCGAGGCAGGCGTCAAGGCATGGTCCATTTCTTCATTCCTCACAAAGGGTGACACTTCCCCAGCATGCACCCAGGGGGTGGGGCCGACGTGGCAGGGGCTGGTTCCTCGCTGTTTCTAGACAGCCTTGTGGAGCTAAGACTGAATGTGTTTCAGCATAGATGGCCACCACAAAATTGTACATTGGCTCCCGGCCAGCCTGGGCCAGGGCCAAAGGCAGCGGGGGCCATTCCCTCACTGTTTCCAGGATGGCTTCACGGGCCACATGAAACCTCTTTGCGGGCCGCATCCGGCCCCCGGGCCTTGTGTTTGACATGTCTGCTCTAGAATATTTACATTAATTGATGTCAGTCTGAGAGGTCTGTAATTTTCTGACTCTTTCCTTTTTCACTTTTGAAAATAGGGGTGACATTTCCTCTCCCGCTTATGAGTATTTACAAGTTAGGCAACTGTAGAAATTCATTTGTCAAAAAAATCAAGTTTTTTGTAAACAAAAAACCAAGTAAAAAACCTAGTTTACTCCTTTGGGATTCCTGATTTTTTTTTTTTTATTCTAGCTTCATCGCTTTCTGGACAAGAATGTGTTTTTCAATATTACAAGGAAGAAACTGTACTGGGATTCAAATGGAGATATAACAGCTGACCTGAACATCAGAAGCTTGGTGGTTATGCCCGATCAGTCCTTCGTTAGAGAGCAACTGGGCAGTTTTGAAAGGCAGAAACTTACTATCAACAAAACTATTGTATCATGGCTGAAGTTACTGAACAAGGTATGGAAAATACTGGCTTCTATTCTTTGTTTTGCAAAATCTTAAGACTAGATTAGGTCACCATACTACAAAAAAGATGTTGAGACTTTGGAAAAAGTTCAGAGAAGAGCAACTAAAATGATCCAAGGCCTGGAGAACGGCTGCAGGACTTGAGTTTGGCTAGTCTAAAGAAAAAAAGAAATAGAGGTGACATGATAGCAGTATTCCAGTATTTGAGAAGCTGCCACAGAGAAGAGGGCATCAAACTATTCTCCAAAGCACCAGAGGGCAGGACAAGAAACAATGGTTGGAAACTGACCAAAGAGAGAAGCAACCTGGAATTAAGGAGAAACTTCCTAATAGTGAGGACAATTAACCAGTGGAATGGCTTGCCTTCAGAAATCATGGGTGCTCCATCACTGGAGATTTTAAAGAAAAGACTGGACAGTCACTTGTCTGAGATGGTATAGGTTCTCCTGCTTGAGCAGGTGGCTGGACTAGAAGACCTCCAAGGTCCCTTCCAGCTCCATTCCATTCCATTCCATTCCATTCCATTCCATTCCATTCTATTCTATTCTATTCTATTCTATTCTATTCTATTCTATTCTATTCTATTCTATTCTATTCTATTCTATTGAGATTAATCAGTGTGGATGACCTACACTGAGAATTAAATGTAGAGAGGAAAACCACATTCACACTGACCTCAATACCTGGGAAGATTCTGAAAAAGATAATCAAACAACGAATCAGTGAACACCTAGAAACAAACAAAGTCATTACTAAAAGCCAACATGGGTTTGTCAAAAACAGATCATGCCAGACAAACCTTATTGTATTCTTTGACCAAGTGACAAAATTAGTGGACCAGAGGAATGCTGTGGATATAATTTACTTGGACTTCAGTAAGGCATTTGACAAAGTAGATCACAACCTACTACTTGATAAGATAGAAAAATGCGGGTTAGACAGCATCACCACCAGATGGATCTGTAGCTGGCTGACCGGCTGTACTCAGCATGTGGTCCTCAATGGAACCACATCTACATGGAGGGAAGTGTGTAGTGAGGTGCCCCAGGGCTCTGTTCTTTAACATCTTCATCATGATTTGGACGAGGGGATAGATGGGGAAATCATCAAATTTGCAGACAACACCAAACTGGCAGGAATAGCCAACACTCCAGAAGACAGGCTTAAGATACAGAAGCATCTGGACAGACTTGAACACTGGGCACTATCTAACAAAATGAAATTCAATGGTGAAAAAAGTAAGGTTCCACATTTAGGCAAGAAAAACCAAATGTACAGGTAGAGTATAGGGGGTACCTTGCTCAATAGTAATAACTGTGAGAGGGACCTCGGAGTCCTAGTGGACAATCACTTAAATATGAGCCAGCAGTGTGCTGCAGCTGCCAAAAAGGCCAACACAGTGCTAGGCTGCATTAACAGAGGGATAGAATCAGGATCACATGAAGTATCAATGCCACTTTACAATGCCTTGATAAGGCCACACTTGGAATACTGCATCCAGTTTTGGTCACCACGATGTAAAAAAGATGCTGAGACTCTAGAAAGAGTACAGAGAAGAGCAACAAAGATGATTAGGGGACTGGAGGCTAAAACATATAAGGAAAGGCTGCTGGAATTGGGTATGTCTAGTTTATTGAAGAAAAGGACAAGGATGGAAATGATAGTAGTATTCCAATATCTCAGGGGCTGCCATAAAGAAGAGGGAGTCCAGCTATTCTCCAAAGTGCCTGAAGGCCGAACAAGAAGCAACAGATGGAAACTAATCAAGGAGAGAAGCAACCTAGAACTAAGGAGAAACTTCCTGACAGTTAGAACAATTAACCAGTGGAACAACCTGCCTCCAGAAGCGGTGAATGCTCCAACACTGGAAGTTTTTAAGAAGAGACTGGACAGCCATTTGTCTGAAATGGTATAAGGTTTCCTGCCTGAGCAGGGGGTTGGACTCCAAGGGCCCTTCCAACTTTATTATTATTATTATTTGTTCTAGGTTGCTTCTCTCCTTGATTAGTTTCCATCTGTTGCTTCTTGTCCTGCCTTCAGGAGCTTTGGAACATAGCTTGACTCCCTCTTCTTTGTGGCAGCCCCTGAGATATCGGAACACTGCTATCATGTCCCCCCTCATCCTTCTCTTTGTTAAACTAGACATACCCAATTCCAGCAACCATTCCTTATATGTTTTAGCCTCCAGTCCCCTAATCATCTTTGTTGCTCTTCTCTGTACATATTCTAGAGTCTCAACATCTTTTTTACATTGTGGTGACCAAAACTGGATGCAGTATTCTAAGTGTGGCCTTACCAAGGCATTGTACAGTGATATTAAGTGGTATTAATAACTGGGGTTTTGATTTATTAGAGACGATTTTATATAACTAATTAAAATAGAATATACTCAAATAGACAAGATGTGTATTTTGAATACTAGATTTTGTTATGAATTGAGATAAAGAAAACTTTGGTCACTTAAAACTTGGAAGTATAAATATTAAAAGTTAAATTTGAATATTGATGGGAAATTAAAAATTGGGGAAAACAAATACATAGGATATTGATCGTCTATAAAGATTGAATGTAAAAGTAATTAAGATATGTATAAGCTAAAAATTACTCATAAATTTAATAAGCATGTTTTTACTTAGTTGATATAATAAGAACTGTATTAGCTTAAATATGAGACAGTAGATATTAAGGGAAAAGGAGAGGAAGTATTTGATGTTGAAATAAGGGAAATTTTGGTCATTAAATTTAAGACATTTGGAAATTAGTTGAAAAGTAGGATTTATATTGTATTATTAGCTAGATGATGCAAGATGGGGGGAAACAGAATATACTGAAATAGATAAGATGTGTATCTTGAATATTAGACTTTGTTATGAATTGAGATAAAGGAAACTTTGGTTACCTAAAATTTGAAAATTATAAATATAAAATGTTAAATTTAAATATTGAGGGGAAACTAAAAATTGGGACAAATTAATAACAGGACATTGATTTTCTATAAAGATTGAATGTAAAAGCAACTAGGATGTCAATGCTACTAATATCGGGTGTTATTGCTTTGACAACAGAAGGAAATGCATTCATTTTTTTCTTTCGTTTTTAGAGCTGATTGATGCTGGGAGGGGGGATGTGGATGAGAGTCCAGTTAGTCATAACAACAAAAAATTCAGCCATGGGAATTCAAGGATACTGAGCCCAAAGTTAATAACGATTTGACAGCTGGAGAGCTGTGGAGAGAGCCCGCGTTTCAAGCTAATTGGGGAATGTGATTTATGACTGTTAGTTGGAGGAGGGAATTGTGTTTTGCTACTTTGTGCCAAGGGGAGGGGAATTCAGCTTTTGGGTTCAACTATGTAGTGCCGATATTATGCTTCTCAAATAAAAGATTCTTTAAGGTAAACAATGCCTTGAAGTTCTTTTGAAGAGTTTAATATGTATAAGCTAAAAATTTATTGATAAATGTAATAATGCTATTTTTACTCAATTGATATAATAAGAACTGTATTAGTTCAAATATGAGACAGTAGATATTAAGGGGGAAAAAGAGGAAATATTTGATGTGGTACCTTGAGATTTGTACTAAGGATTTTTATGTACTATTGAATTATCGATTAACCCAGCCACCACGTTGCTTTTTAAATACTTAAATGTAAAATTTGAAAATTAATAAAATACTACAAAAAAAATATTAAGAATGCAGGGATGCATATTGAACCAGCTTTCAGGAAGAACCCACAGGCTGCTAAATACATAAATCTTTACTCAGTTCATCCCTTTACAAAGTGCAAAAGTATTTTGTTCCTATGCGAAATATGAGAAATAGGCAGAACCTACAAGTAGTTGTATCATGTACATGTTTTTGGAATTGGTTAGGTTATAGTCACCCCTGTGAAGCCCTTGGATTCTTTTTACTGGCTAGAGATACTGATTTGTTAGGAAAATATCCTAATGCATTTTCTTTGCCAATTTTTTTGCTTAGTCTCTGCCTCTGTCCAGATGTGTGGAAAATTGTCGTCCTGGATTTGTCAAGAAGAAGAGAGAAGGAGAGCCAGATTGTTGCTATGACTGTGTTCCTTGTCCAGAGGGGACCATCTCCACTCAGGAAGGTGGGTGACACCAGAAGAAAGGTAGGTTCCTGGTATCAGTTGTTGTCCCAAGAAGCTAATTTATGAAATGTGAAAGGACAGATTGTTAAAAAAATAATCCTTTTGGTTTTCTCAGATACGGAAAAATGCACCAAGTGTCCAGATGATCAATATGCAAATGAGAAGAGAATCCAATGTATCCCCAAAGTTATAACCTTCCTGTCTTACGAAGAACATCTGGGCATCATCCTGATTTCCTTTGCCCTATTCTTGTTTCTAACTACAGGCTTTGTTTTAATCATATTTATTAAATACAAAGAAACTCCAATTGTGAAAGCTAACAACCGGGACCTCTCTTACATCCTTGTGGTCTCCCTCCTGCTTTGCTTCTTGTCTTCTTTTCTCTTCATTGGTCAACCAAGGAAAGCCACCTGCCTTCTCCGACAAATGGTTTTCAGCATCATCTTTTCAGTTGCCATTTCTTCTCTCTTGGCTAAGACAATCACAGTAGTGCTGGCTTTCCTAGCCACAAAACCAGGAAACCAAGTGAAGAGATGGTTGGGGAAGACCTTGGCCAACTCCATCATCCTTTCTTGTTCTGCTGTCCAAATTATCATCTGCTCCATCTGGCTTGGACTTTCTCTCCCATTCCCTGAATCTGACTTCCACTCTCAACCTGGAGTCATCATCCTGCAATGCAATGAAGGGTCTATTGTCATGTTCTACACCACCCTCAGTTACATGGGCATTTTGGCTGTCATCTGTTTCACAGTGGCTTTCCTGGCCAGGAATCTCCCTGGGGCCTTCAATGAAGCCAAGCTGATCACCTTCAGCCTGCTGATCTTCTGCAGTGTCTGGGTGACTTTTGTGCCCACCTATCTGAGTACCAAGGGGAAATACATGGTAGCTGTGCAGGTCTTCTCCATCTTGGCATCCAGTGCTGGTCTGTTAGGTTGCATATTTATCCCTAAGTGCTACATTATCATTCTGAGGCCAGATCTGAACACAAAGGAGCAGATTACAGCCAGAATAAATCCAAAAACATAATGCCATTATGATATTATAAAGAATCGTAAAAGCTGCTTGTATTTGAATGCAAATATTAATTATTTCCAATTAGATAGTATGCTGGAGTCAAAAAAGATCAGAATGTTATGTTTCTAAATTAGAAATAGCTGAATGGCTGGAATCTTTTTACTCTATTCTCTTTCATCACAATAAATCTTGCTAAAAAGAATTCTGTGAAAATCATTTAAAGAAATTTGGTGTTCAGAAACTGCTCATGATCCTGACATCTTTTAAGAAATAATTTGAGCAATATTCCCCCTGACATTGACTAAGAGTCTCTGTATATGTCAGAGATTGCAATGTGAAAATAGGCAAGATGGAAGCAGTTGGGAGCCTGTGGCAGAGGCCTTAAAAACTGTGTATCAGGTCCACCATGCAAGTGTTGGAGGTAGGTGGGAGGAAGGTTTCTGGCATTCCTTGCATGCTGTTGTTTTTGCTGTAACTGCTTGGGAATTAGGCAGGGGGACTGTCCCTGGAGAAGAAGCAGATTCCTCCTCAGCTGGTTCCAGCCTGGTTCCAAGATCGTCATTTCCTAAGAGTGACCTGTTATCTACCCAGCACCTCAGTGTTATCATAACATCTATATGACATCATATTGGCTATTGGTGGACTGGTCAGGAGGGTTGGGTTTGGAGAAAATGGAATAACTGCTTTGTGCCTTGTGCGGGACCTTCAGATTCTGCCTGACTTTTCTGCATCCACTTTCTCTCAATAAAAGTTCTCAATGGAGTCAAGAATTTTGCTTTTCTGAGGGACCAGCTGGGGCAGGTCCTTACACTGTGTATTTTAATGGAATGAGGAAGGGTGGTAGCTTTTGGGTGACGGGAACATGCATCCATGGCAGGCATTCTGTTTCCAACCACACATATTTCTAATCAATGGTCAATCAATCTGAGGTTTCAGAATGATTTTTAATTTCAAATTGGATACTTTTGGAAATTCCACTTTAAGATGATAAGAAAAACTCTGCCAGATCAGGCAGTTTTCCAGTAATTTCTCCTTTAGAAGATTAACCAAAGGCCAAAATTTTTCTTTCTTTGCAAACAGTTCTTAGGTTAAGATTTAAGAATGTAATTCAGTGTGTTTATAATCCCAGAAGGTCAGCAGTTTCTAAACATATGTAGTTTCACTCAGTAACAGAAAACTCAATGCTTTGTTCCTAGCTGTTTTTTGCTGTTTCTAGGCATCTTGCCAAATTCTAGGTCATTGCTGCTATAGCTTTCTCTGTGTTGGTGTTGTTCGTCCATCGATTTTCGATGAAGATCTTGACATCTTGTGGGTTATGGGCCATCAACGATGTGTTCTTAGGTGGCTAATAAGACCGATGTTAGCACAAAATGTTCTGCCACATACTGAACAAAGAAATGTAGACACTGTTGATTCAGCATTTGCAGCTCTGGCTTTGCGGAGTGCTTGCTTTTCTTGTGCCAAGATTATCCTTCTGTGTTTATATGTCTGGCAACCCTGGTACACCTGGTTTTCTCTAATCCTCCACTAGATGTCACTGTTCATTTTTCAACTTTTTGAAACAAATTTATTATATATATAAAATTTCATCAGTGTTTTTTCAGGTATAAAGTTTTAACAATTTTCTTAGCTTTCAAATTTATCCAAATTGTCGTAATGTTTATTCCCCATAAGAGTTTAATTCGCTGCTTCCATCTATAGAAGGGTGAGACAGTTCCCCCCCCCCCTTCTCACTTTGGGAGGCTTTTTGCTTCTTGGGGATCTTTTCCAGGAAATTAGGTATAAAATAGGAGAGAGAAGATGAAATTTTCACCCAGTGTCAAGCACACTGTTCACTGTTGTGCTGGTTAGTGCCTTTGGACTTCAGCTGCAAGTAGTTTGGGCTGGTCAGTGAGGCGTGGCCAGCCCTTCTCCTGTTGGGTTAGAAGGCTTTCCCCAAACCAAATGAAATGACCGCCATCATTCCAGAGTCGTTGGGGCACCCTTCTTTCTTCGCTGCCTCTCCGGGGTGACTTAGACCCATTTAGGGTCCCCTGGCAGGGCAAAACTAGTTGTGGGCTGCGGAGCTCCGTAATCACACAACCAATCGTTACGGCACAAGACTGGAAGTCCTCTCAAATTCCTATTTTATTTCTGTCATTTATATCCCCCAGTTTTGTGAATTGAGGACTTTGAAAGTAGGCCTTCTTGGACATAGCACCTGCTCTCTAAAATAATATATTTATTGAGACTGGTTGAACACCAATCCTCACATTCTTTAAGGGATTTCTTAAATTTTGATTGGATCCCCAGGCATTGCATTAGAGCGGATTCGACCCCTCTTTTGTATTATGGCTCTTTTCAAATATGGAGCATTTTTCATCAGATAATCCTCCCAACCAGCTCTCCAGATACAGCAAGTACAAATGGATCCCCAAATCCACCTTTTAAGCATTTGATGGTCTTTTGGGGGAGAGGGTTGACACATAGGCAAATGGCCTGCACATCACCAAGCATGTCCAATCAAGCAGAAGAAAGACCACCAATTCCCCCCACAGCAGTTTCTAGGTGGATATAGCAAGAAAGCAGGTCACAACATCCACCATGCTTTGGGCCCCACCATCATTTTAGCTGCAGGACTTAAAGGGCACTGTTTATTTATTAAACTAGAAACTTCAAAACGACCTCAGTGTCTTACATGAGTATGGAAAAAGAACATATAGAGCAGGGGTTCTCCCACCCCCTGGGGGTGCGAGATGATGTTCCAAGGGATTTACAAAGTTATAATGTATATGCATAGTTTGTTGCTGTTATTTCAAACTTTTGTAAGGGGTGCAAGAATATATCAGAGGCGTTCTAAGGGTGCGGGGTATAGAAAAGGTTGGGAGCCGCTGATATAGAGTGTCATTAACAACAAATTTTATCCATCCTAAAGCTTTTCCCCAATTTAGAATAGAATAGAGCTGGAAGGGACCTTGGGGGTCTTCTAGTCCAGCCCCCTTCTGAAGCAGGAGAATGTATACCATCTCAGACAATTGATTGTCCAGTCTCTCCTTAAAAATTCTCTAGTGATGAAGCATCCATGATTTCTGAAGGCAAGCTGTTCCACTGGTTAATTGTACTCATTGTTAGGAATTTTCTCCTTAATTCCAGATTACTTCTACATTGGATCAATTTCCAACGATTGTTTCTTGTCCTGCTCTCTGGTGCTTTGGAGAATAATTTGATCCCTTCTTCTTTGTGGCAGCTCCTCAAATACCGGAATACTGCTATTATGTCACGTCTATTTCTCCTTTTCTTTAGACACCCCATCACCCCTCTACATTTAACTTCTAAACAGCAGAAAAAGCGTGCTGAAAGCAAAATGAAAATGGCTGCAATTTTCTTCAGTTGTCAGAGCGAGAACATTCATTGTCACAGCGTTGACACTGTGATGACCCAGACTTTCGCTTCAATGGGTCCTGGCAAACTTTCAAATGTTGAATGGAAGAGAAGAATTCTTTCCCAAATGAAATCAAATTCTATGAAGTGAACAAAGATATTGACTTGCTTCCACTTAGAGATGGAATCCCTGAGGGGTGCGTTATAGCCAGTTACTGAGAATTGTTGTGATATAATAACACAAATTTTATTCTTGATAAGCATAGGAGTAAAAATTCTCATGAAATTCTCCCCCTTCTCTGTGTCTGAAGCAAAGAGACCAATCAGGATCCATCCAAAATGGAGGAGCAGTTGGACAATTGCTGGATATTCGATCCCTTCTTTGGGGAGCATTGGGTGGAAAAAAGGGAATTGACTTTTATCATCATCATCATCATCATCATCATCATCATCATCATCATCATCATCATAGTAATAATGATAAAGTTGGAAGGGACCTTGGAGGTCATCTAGTCCAACTCCCTGCTCAGCAGGAAACCCTATACCATTTTGGACAAATGGCTGTCCAGTTTCTTCTTAAAAACTTCCAGTGTTGGAGCATTCACTGCTTCTGGAGGCAGGTTGTTCCACTGGTTAATTGTTCTAACTGTCAGGAAGTTTCTCCTTAGTTCTAGGTTGCTTCTCTCTTTGGTTAGTTTCCACCTGCTGCTTCTTGTCCTGCTTTCTGGTGCTTTGGAAAATAGCTTGACTCCCTCTTCTTTGTGGCAGTCCCTGAGATATTGGAACACAGCTATCATGTCCCCCCTCATCCTTCTTTTCGTTAAACTAGATATACCCAATTCCAGCAGCCGTTCCTTATATGTTTTAGCCTCCAGTCCCCTAATCATCTTTGTTGCCCTTCTCTGTACTCTTTCTAGAGTCTCAACATCTTTTTTACATCGTGGTGACCAAAACTGGATGTAGTATTCCAAGTGTGGCCTTACCAAGGCATTGTAAAGTGGTATTAATACTTCATGTGATCTTGATTCTATCCCTCTGTTAATGCAGCCTAGCACTGTGTTGGCCTTTTTGGCAGCTGCAGCACACTGCTGGCTCATATTTAAGTGATTGTCCACTAGGACTCCGAAATCCCTCTCACAGTCACTACTCTTGAGCAAGGTACCCCCTATACTATACCTGTGCATTTGGTTTTTGTTGCCTAAATGTAGAACCTTACTTATTTCACCATTGAATTTCATTTTGTTAGATAGCGCCCAGTGTTCAAGTCTGTCCAGATCCTCCTGTATCCTATGCCTGTCTTCTGGAGTGTTGGCTATTCCTCCCAGCTTGGTGTCGTCTGCAAATTTGATGAGTTCCCCATCTATCCCCTTGTCCAGATCATTGATGAAGATGTTGAAGAGCACTGGGCCCAGAACAGAGCCCTGGGGCACCCCACTACACATTTCTCTCCACGTAGATGCGGTTCCATTGAGGACAACACGCTGAGTACGGCCGGTCAGCCACTGAAGCAATTCTTTCACTGACCTGAAAAAGTAATGAAGAGTGCTGAGTTATATCTGGGATCTTATCAAATCCAAATTTTCACTTTTTAATAAATCCAATGTTTTTCTCATGCACATATTAGAACTGTTTCTTGTTGGTTAGTCAGTCGA